TATTGTTACATCTGTGGTCGCAATAAAACACACAACAACCAATACACAACTTTATTACTATTGCGACAATGTTTATTTTCCCTTGGAAATTATCGTGGAAATGCAAAGACTTTCGCACCATTCGGCAGCGGGATATCAAATGACAGCCGCATGTATGGCTAACGAGGTTCAGTAATACCAACATATTTTGTATTTACAATTATTCCGAGAGATTTCAACTTTATTACCAAAGAATAGGGCGTATACAATAGTAAAATTTAATTTGCGTTATATTTAGGGAAACGCACGAGGTAATTATAGCGTTTGAAAAAGGAATCGTAATGTTTTGTTATTATTTAGATGTGTGCGGTGTAATGATGTGTGTGTGATGTACGTATTTAATGACATGCAATTATGGACCCTTTTCGCTTTTAAATTATATGGAGAAATTGGTCGTTTTTCCTATAAACAAACATATTTTCTAATTTTGTATACTTAGCTTATTGACAAAATAATAGTAAATAGATTCCTGATACACTTTTGTAGTTGTAAACATTTTAATATAGTACCAGGATACCATGTTATGAAGAAGGTATTGAATTTGATTTTTGACAGGGACAGGAAGAATTGTGTTATGAATAATTTTATTCAGAAAAGAAGAATCATATTTAAAAGCCAGTGTAAGGAGATCTTATACTAACCCTTAATAAAGGGATGAAGACAACACTAATGATTAGATGTGTTTATTATATACCTCGAAAAGCATACTAGCTGACAGCTCAACTTATGGAAAAGTGACTACTGTTATATACCAATTTATTTGAACACCAGTACTGACATTATGTCATCATGTTTGTGTGTACGGGACATATATCTATTCTTTATTGCACATACTCATACGAAAAAATAACTATAATAAGGTAAATGTTATCTACAAGAGCAATCATGTACCATATCACTTCTAACCGAAACATAGTTTACAAAGTAAATCGAGCAGTCGACTTTATATAAAGTCTGCCATCCTCCCAAACTTTTTTTTAATAATAGTCGTTAGACGAAGACGAAAATGGCCAAACAATGCGTATACCATCAAAATTGGACTCATAAATTCCCTTGTCACTACCAAATTCTTTACACATTCCTTTCCAAAAAATAATTATCGTACACCCTTTAACTGAATATCTTGTAAATTGTTTTCGACCCTTCATAACAAGGAGGACTGGGCATCTCGTATAAATCATTTTTATTATCACCCCCATCCTACACCCCACTATTAGGGGGGTGACTGGCGATTTAGTTCATGATACGGGGGTGCTATTTTAGATAGATTTAAAATAGTTCTTCGCGGATCGATTCAATCTTTATCTATAATAAATATAAACTGCAGTTTCGCGTGTACTTACTACATCAAGCCCCTTGATCTGGATGGTAATTGTGTACTGGTAAGTGGGGAAATGGTGTTGTTAGAAATAGGACTAGTAACCCCAATGTATGGTCAGGTAGATCTACACTACTACAAAAATCATAATTCTTAGTGAATTTGTCTTATCATGACATCAGGTCAGGTCGCGCCTCGCCAGTATATACCGTTAACGCAAGAGGGTGCATAAATATATCATAGAAAAAAATATATAGTCTTCTCTCATATAGACGCCTACCCGCATAGGTACGGTGGTTGTTATGATTTTTAAGGGATGACGGATGTTGATTTTGTCCATTTATTGTCCCCATACGATCTTTTTGTATATTTTAATGTACATTAAAAGGTTTAATAATGATGAACTAATATCTATATTCATATTATAAAGTGCCGATTTCTTAAGAGAAGTAAACTCCGGAACCATTATAACATTTTGAAAAATTATTTCACTGTTTGAAATGTACGTTATTCTAAACTGATAGAGTTAAAACTAACATAGTTATGAGCTCCCGGGCAAAGCCGGGATTGGTCGGTAGTTTTACTTAATAAAATTAATGTGTAAACATACAGTTTTTATTACTAACGTGAGTACTTTATTTAGTTGTAATTTTAGCAGATGTTTTAAACTCCAAATGTGGAACTTTTATTTGCTATCGTTATATAACTCGGTGATCGATATCAACAACAATAGCCAATACTTGTGTAAATATATTTACAAGTATAAGTAGTAAAGTTATATTTTTTCAAACCGAAATTGACTTATAAAACTTTTGTTAACAATCCTATTATATTCTTATACAAAAACGTAATAACAGTACTTATCTACTTAGCAAGAATAACGTTGTTTAATAACATATTATTATAGACTTGCATTCATTGTATAACGTATATAAGCTCTTATTATTATTAATATTATATTACCATGTCAGGTAAAGTACAATTATCATTACAATTGCATGAATAATGTCGTTTATTTTTACATAAAATATGCATGCAGTAAGTATAATTTGTCATACAAAACAACCGTATTACTCATGGCAACATATTGAAAAAAAGCATTAAAAACCATACTAGATTAACTATATTGTGATTAAATTTAGAACGTATTTCTTTTGTCAGAAAGTTGAAAATCCCTTAATAAAAAATTTTTTTACATAAAATTACATTGTGAAGTAAAAAATAAAATTTATCATTGTTTTATATTTCGAATACGAAGAAATTCAAAAAGAGAACACCTTTTTTTTAGTAATCACGATATTGGAAAAGTTTTTAATTTATACATTGCATGTATATTAATAAAACAGGTTCTATTTTTTAAATATTTTGAATGAAACATGAAAAAAAAATTGTTATGAGGTTTCATGGCGCAGTTTATTGGAAATTGTGAACGTTTGGTCAATATTTAAAGTTTAAAATTATTACGAGAACGAGAGGCTTAACGATAATATATGGCGACGTAAAATTGCTGTCGATTTTTCTGATTAATATTTTAATACGTTTATAATATTGCAATAAATTCAGTGTTTTCTGATGATTTTGGGTTACGTCATGGATTTTAATTAATTTTTCATAAACAATAAGAAGCCTTTATGAAATAATTTTATTAAAGTAACTTTTAGAAATTACTCTGAATAGTACCGATATTCGAAAAAAAATAAAATAACGAGTGAAATACATACAAAATATTGTTAATGTCATATCACTACATCATGGTTTAGGGGAACTTGCTAGATTAGTCTTACACATTGTCTCAGTCACCTTCCAATGGTAGCAGGTTCAATAACTATGTAAACCACTTATGTGGTGGTAATTTATTTATTTCTTTTCCTGTTTATCTGCCGAATATACATATGTATATGTATTGTAAGTACTATATATGTAATAATGAAGAACATACAAAAATGACGCCAAGGTTTCACCATTGTCGTTAATTTCGTGATAGATCTATAATTGTCGCTGATAGACTAATTTGAATACTAATTCCCATAACTAACAACCCCCACCACACATTCCACCACATTCCTATTATTACTTTTGTCTGAACATACTGTTACGCGTATAATCTGATTTACTCCATCGCCTTGTATGAGCTGCCCTTCTTCATTCTACTGTATGACTCGGCGAAAACGCGTAAACGATCTGTCAGTACCGCCATTAATTTGGCCAGATTTATTATACCGGATCCTTAGAATATGCACGCCTTGTACCCCGTTATTTTACCTATTATACAACGAAGATAAATCTCCGCATTCGCTAGTCCATTGCGCTTTCTGTTAGAGTAGGAAATTGTAAGTGGGTACTCACGCGTCAGTGCGTAACGAGGCACGAGATCGCCGATAATTTCGTATTTCCCCAAGAGACGTACAGATATTGATTATGAAATGTTGAGTCGACAGTTTTCCGTTTTGTCTTCGGTTTGGATGTTTGTTTTGTTATCATTCATTAAATGACTGGTCGGAGCAACAATTTGGGAACCACTGGTTGGATTATTTTGGAACATTTATTTCCCTACTAATGTTTTAAATATGATAGTCCGTTTGTTTGTTTGTTAGTTTCTTTGTTTTTAGCTTTAACGGTTTAATAAATAGTTATTTAACTTGAAATATATATATACAATTAATATCTTTGATGAAGGTATGTTTTCCAATAATCTATACCCTACGTATATTATAATAAAGGTGAAAATGAATAATATCACTATTTAATTCTGATTAATAAAAATAACAGTTGATTAGCTTAGTAGGTAATAAAACATTTTGACTTGTATATGTAAAAATATATCATATAGTAATTTTGTTTATGAAATCTAATATTTCACAACATTTTAATCACTTTTCAATAATATTATATAAAAGTAATAACTGCGCATTATATAGATATGTAGATAAAATATAACATATCTTGTATCATAAATTATAAAACATTTAACCTATTTCGCAATAATTACATGACTAATATTATTATTGTACATTGATTATTCATTCTAGTATGACATTTCACTTTTTTAATTGTATTTTATAGACGGCCTCGGCACACCGCCTTTCTTACAATAGTCGCGGGTTCGATTCCTCGCAAAGTGCAAACATTTGTATTCATGAGTAGGATTGTTTGTATCGGTATGGGTGTTTTCTATATGCATATATTATGTGTGCATTTACAAAAAAAAATTGTCGCTTATGAACGTAAAATTTTTTATATTATAATTATTCCCTACCGTTAAATTTAGTAAACAGATTTCGTTGAAAACTACAAGCAAGGCTGAACTGGCAAGAAACTCCACTGAATTTCATTTTTTTTAAAACCAGTGTATTTACACTATTTACGTTTATCGATGTCTCTGTCCAACTTTAAGGGTATAAATTAATATGAAGAACATACATAGTTAGTTAAATATAATATATTATCTGCTTCTTCCTTAATATATATGTGGGGTCGGCGTAATATGTTTTTCTCTTCCATTCATCTCTGTTCGCAGTCAAAAAAAAACAGTTAAATATAATATATTTAAATGTATATATATATATATATATATATATATATATATATATATTTAAAAAAAACAACGAAATATATATTAATTTACTTTTTTTTTTAATTTCAGAACCAAGATACGAAACTGCGTACGCGTGTGAAGGCAAAACCCTGAAAATCGGCTGCGGGGAGGGGTCCGTGATACATTTGATAAGAGCAAACTATGGACGGTTCTCGATCACCATCTGCAACGACCACGGGAACACCGACTGGAGCGTCAACTGCATGTCAACGAGGAGTTTGCGTGTTCTACACAGCAGGTAATTTTAAATATCAAATATACCACATAATAATAATAATAATAATAATATTCTCAGGATAATTCACACAGCGCCATCTAGTCCTAAGTTAAGCTAGCTCAAGCTTGTGTTACGGGTACTAGATAACTGATACTAAAACATAGATTTTTTTTTAATTAAATACATACATATTATACATATAATACACACAGACCGATACAAACAATCATACTCATGAATACAAATGTTTGTGCCGTGCGAGGAATCGAACCCGCGACCATCGGACGTAAAGCGATGTGCTCGACCGCTAGACCACTGAGGTCGTAGATAACTGTACATAATCTATTAATTGTACATTGTGTTATATTGTAAGTGCGTATTAATAATATATATCTGAATATCTGTCTCTTTTATACCTTTTCACAATATTTTATAATAATAATATTCCTGGACAATTTACACAGCATTATTAAGTCCTATATAATTGTTGTTGTCTGTCACATTATTTATTATACATATTTAATAAATAATATAATGTAAATATGAAGTATAAAACTATATGCCCAGTACATCAGCAATACTATCTAGTTAAATATAATACACGTGATGTGACACACATAGTACAGTCCGTATTGAAGTTGCTTGCATTATGAGTACTAGAGAAGTGATATATTATAAATACTTAGATGATTTATTTTAAATACATAAATAATATAGATAAATACAAACAATCATACTATGAGTACAATTATTTGTACCGGAGCATCGAACCCGCGACCATCGAAAGTAAAACGGTGTGTTAAACCGCTAGACCACCGAGTCCGTCAATATTTAAAGGTTGCATCAGGAGGCAGGCTATGTTTTATATTTTAAAAAGCAGACGAGGTCACGATGCTCAGTTAGTTAACAAAATAAATTATTGGTAATAGATAAGCAGATATAACATGTCTAGACAATTTAGAGTACGTATATTGTATTTGTGTATTATATTCACATCATCAATAATTCTATAATGAGTTTCGAGAATCGAAGTATTATATATATTTCATTAACATCTCTAGTTATATTGTAAAAGCGAAGGAGTTTGTTATATATATACGCGGGTGTAATAGTTTTGATACTATCTGCACACTTTTGGAATGGTAATTTTTACCATTCCAAAAGTGTGCAGATTGGTAGTATATATTCGAGTAAAACGAATACTTTCACATAATTTGCATGCCTATATAGTAAATATTGCTGATCAGCAATATTTTATATAACATCGTATTTATTGTACCAATTTTATAAAAAATATTTAATTTCATTTCACACTTTTGGAGTGCATAATCTAGTTCTCTTTTATTGAAATTGGTGTAGTGCTTACGGCTTTAGCACAACAAATTTTGGGTTGGGTTGACATTGAATTTTACTTACCAGTTCAATTTATTGTATTAGTTGATATTGAAATTTAGGTTTAATTGGTAGGAGATAGAAATTTGAATTGAACGACATTTATTTAATTTGATTTTTAATATTTATTCAAGACGTTTATAAAAATTATATAATATTAGATTGATTAAGTAGGATATTATGTAATTAATTACATATACAATTTGTATGTCTTATTTAAATATATAACCTATTAAAAATAGGTTAGTTGCCCTAGGCTTACATAGTAGTAAGGTATAAGTAGGTAGGTAAGTACAGGTAACAAATCTATTTTTTAGATAAATAAATACCTAGATAAAATTTTAAATATAATCAATCTATTTTTGTTCTCTGCTATATTATATACTCGTAAAATATTTTTTTTTACATTTTTACATGAAAATAGCGTATGAATTGGAAATCATAATATGGAATATTAATTAATATAATCGCTTACCCCCCACAGAGACATCGATTTATTCATATTCAAACAGCTGAGACATCGTCATTCCGAATTTATATTCGATACTCGATAACGATTATATGTATCGATAAAATATTATTATTAATATGGAACGATGTCTCCAATTAGTTACCGGTGTCGCGTTACACTGTTATATCCAATTAATAACGATCAAAACAGTTTTATCCCAATATAACTTAGGGTTGCCTTCGTAAATCTAGTTGTTAAGTGGTATTCGAAATTCAAAATTAGAATACGAAATTTTGAATTTAGAATACTATTAATTTAATTTAAATATTATTAATGCTAATTTAAATTGCAATTTCAATTTGTTAAAATTATAATTAATGTGTAATTTTTATTCGGTTAATAAATAGTCGAATGCTAGCAATGTTAAAATTATGACTAAAACACTTGTATTCCTATTGCGAGAATTATAATGTAATTACTTTTCTTAGACATTTCTAGTGATCTTGAAGTGGTTTTATTTTTGAATCAATATTTGTAACCGTTTAAGATGATAGTTTGTTAGTCACTAGATTAGTTTGTTAGTTATAAAACTATTTATATGTATGTTGTATGTATATTGGCATAAAATATTTAAAATAATTAAAAATATAAATGCAGTCAACCCTAAATACATACGGCATGGTAATGTTCTTTTGATGATGTAAAATCTTGATCATCATTGCGATCGGTTCTTTTAGATCAGAATTACGTTCACGTTTTTTCTTAATTAATTTGAGCGTTATAACTTTATTATAGGCCAGATCTCAGCTACTGGCGTTATGTTATCAAAGTGTAAACTGGATCATAACTTATCGTATCATAACGTAATATATTTTATTTTTATGGTGCAACTTAATTAATATATATGAATAATATTAAAAAACTTTTGACTACTTTTTTATGTAACTCACAAAATAGTGTGCATAACGTCTATCTGATAGAAAATGTTAATAAGTAACATCCAGAACGTCACAAATGTATTTTATTATAGCGCTGCGTTGCTCTTCCTGTGAATAAATATATCAATGATAGCTTAATATCCAGTAATCGTCACTGTGACGCCGCAAGTAGTTCCTCTCGTGTATTGCTGAACTTTTAATAATTAAACAATCATACGCCTTCGTATTCTATAATTTTAAAATGTTACTATATATTTTTAATAAAAATGTATTTGATGATATATCCTTTGAAACATTATTAAACACACAAAAATCCCTGGAATATCATTTTTATATCAAGTATATAAAATATCGTAAATGAACCAAGTATATACTTTATTGGATGTATAGAAAAGTATATAGGGTTGACATAGACATCATCATCATCATCATTATCGCAGCCCGGAAGACGTCCACTGCTGGACATAGGCCTCCCCCAAAGATCTCCACGACGATCGGTCCTGCGCTGCTCGCATCCAATGCCTTCCCGCGATCTTGACCAGATCGTCGGTCCACCTTGCTGGAGGCCTTCCCACATAGACATAGTACATCGGATTAAACTTGAACAAACATAGTCGCGGTAACACCTAATGCCTAACTTCTAAGCGCTCGCCCCGGAAAGTGGCGAGAATTGCCGAAAATTAAATATTCGCTACACCCAACTTTATCGCGTTAACCCCGCGAGATTGCCAATAAACTGCACGGCCCCGCGCTCCTGCAAATGACGCCTTAAATTGATTGTCTGCGCCTTGCGTGACGTCATTACGCTGAGGATTTTTTTTTTATTTGCAAAATGCCAATTGTTTACTATAGCATTATTAAAAATGTTGCCGATGACTGACATCTGTCTATGATGAGATGCAAGGGAAGGAAATGTTAAATTGATTATTTGCACGATTCTTTTTATTGGAAATATTTCAATTGTTTATACATACAGCAATATACAGTCATAACTATTTTGATGGAAGACTAATCCCATCCGGGATAATAGAAAATTGTCGCTGACGTGCAGAAAACAACACTTGACCTGTCCATATTTCGTATTTTATATTTGAAGCAAACACTTTATAACCCATTTTTCGAAAATTGTGCTGACGTAGAAGTATGCAATTTCGAACACTTATTACTTACTCAGTTTACTAGCTTTTGCCCGCGGCTTCGCTCGCATTAATTTATACCCTTAGGGGTGGAATTTATCAAGGATGCCTACGTCATAGTAGATCTATGCATGCGAAGTCTCAGCCCAATCGATTTAAAATTGACAAAATTGCATACAAGCTTTCATCCCCTATTTTATCCCCTTGGGGGTAGAATTAATCAAAATCCTTTCTTAGCGGATGCCTACGTTACATCTACCTGCATGCCAAATTTCAGCCAGATCCGTCCAGGTTTGGGCTGTGCGTTAATAAATCACTATGTCAGTCACCTTTGAGTTATATATATATATATAGATATATAGAGAATGCAATTCTTTTTATTATACATATAAAATACATTATATCATAAAAAACAATACACACAATAGAACCTTAATAATTTTGAAACTTACGTAATTGATTGTCTACGACTTGAATCACTTCATGACGCTGGATTTTTTAAAGTGTCACAGTGATTGATACATTTTCTTTTTTTTTTCAGATGTAGTATGCATCAGAACTGCAGTATATTAGCAAGCACAAACATGTTCGGCGATCCGTGTCCGAATACGTTAAAGTATTTGGAAGCGCATTACCAATGTGTACCAGGTAAGAATTGGTCGATATTTCAATAAGATTAAGTTTTGGCACTTGCTTGTTAGTCACTAAATTAGTTTGTTAGTTATAAGACTATTTATATGTATGTTGTATGTATATTGTCATAAAATAATTAGAAATATAAATACAGTCAACCATAAATACATACAGCATGGTAATGTTCTTTTGATGATGTAAAATCTTGATCATCATTGCGATCGGTTCTTTTAGATCAGAAATTACGTTCACGTTTTTTCTTAAGTAATTTGAGCGTTATAACTTTTTTGTAGGCCAAATCCAGATTATTTTCCACTAGCTATCCTACAAACAGAAAGTGTTTTGGGGCACTTATGGGTAAATTATATATAGAAAATATCTAGATCGGTAAAAACAATCACTCGCATGAATTCAAATATGTGTACCGTGCGAGGAATCGAACCCGCGACCATCGGAAGTAAGGCGGTTTGCTAAGCCACTAGACCATTGAAGCAGTCAGTTTCTTTCCCTTCTTTATCAAATTTCAATATCGTGTCATCATTTGATCAATTGAAAGACAATGAATTCATATTTGTTTCAGCATCAACAACAAGCACTACAAACAGGCCATCACCACCTTGGTTAATAACATCCCAACCAACAGTATGGCGGTCGACAGCCCCTCCAGCGCCTAAAAGTCCAGTACAAACCCAGCAGGGAGAAAGGAAGAAGCCAACTGTCATCACGCCACCGACGTTCAGGCCTCATATTACTTTACCGCCTGAAGTTAAACTGGGCGATGTTGCTACTAAGGTATGATCGTTTTTCCTGTACTTCAGTATTGCAAACAAGACTTTATAGTAGAGTTGCCAACTGTCCAGTTTTAGCAGGATATATCCTAGTTTTTATAGTGTCCTAGGACTACCTGAATAGTTTTTAAGAATAAAATTCGGTTTTAAATTTTACTATTTCATGGTATACTTTACAGTACTGTACTTTACTTAGAGAAGCTGCTTCCCGCGTACACTTACATTGTAAAATGAACCCAGGTTTTCTCGAGAGACTACAGCATGGACTTTTTCAAAAAGTGCATACTAAGGTCTTAAAGATCGGTAATGCGCACGTTACACCCCTGGTGTTTCAGACGTCCGTAGGCTGCGCTAACCGTTTACCATCAGATGGGGCGTATACTTGTTTGCCGCCATCGTAGTATCAAAAGAAACTTCAAATTATCGTGTAGTACTATCGAAATGCTGATTAATTAATATTGTAATTTTCCGTGTAGCTAAGAAATTAGATGAAAGTACTAAGTAACTGTAATTTTATAACTATACTTATGTTATATGACTATCAGATAAATTAATATGTAATTTCTTCTACAAGACCACAACCCGGCAACCGGATTCTTCATCAGAGAGAGATGCATCGCAAATACCACAAGACAACACGCCAGAAGTGAAAGAGGACCCAACTAAAGTAGAATCTGAAAGTCCTAGAATAGAGAAACCGAAGGATGATGATATGGGTACGTAATATTTTTAGCTGACTCTTTATAGTAAGCCATTTTTTAATATTTGTGCACAAACACAGATTAAAATTTTTTTGCTATATTGATAACATAAATAGAAATTGTTAAAAAAATATGTAAGTATTAGTACATAGGTACACTTTGTCGTACACTAAAAGTCGTTTGTGTGGATATCCACTGTCTCTCCAGTCAACAGCCTGCTTTATAAGCTGTGGTTAAAGGTTGAGAAAAGACAGTGAATCATAGAGTATGGGGGATCATATTTTGGTCTTCGAAACGACAACGTATGAGTGTTATCACATGATAACGTAATTCTGTTATCTATATGTACGTCACCTTGTTTGTCTATCCTTTACATATTAAACCTACATTGTAGTGTAATAATAATAACCCTGGATATTTTACACAATGCTATCTAGTCTCAAGCTAAGTAAAGCTTATGTTATTGGTAGTAGCTTGTGACAACTGATAGAAATACTTTAGTATATTTTTCTTTGTAAATACATACATAATATACATATAAAACACCCAGACCACTAATAGAAAGGTTTGTAACGTAGAATTGAATCCGAGACTTTCGGGAGTAAGATGTGCTCAACCGCTAGAAATGTATATGTATGATTATATTCACAGCGGTTACAGAAGAAACGATCCACTGGCCAGTGAAGGACGATTCTGACTCTACAGTACCTGTGCATGTACCTCAGAAAGAAACCAAACCAAACCCGGATGTAGAGGATGTATTCGATAATGTGTATTGTAAGTATAATTCAATAATATCCTTCGTTACACTTATTAATGTAGTACATTAGCTGACCCCATCACGCATTGCTGGTTTTGTACTTTTAATATAGTGGTCAATAAAAACAGCTCTATCTTTTAAGTTAGAATAAGTTATACACACTGTAATTATAACAGGTCAGTGGACAGTGATGGAATCAAGTAGATAAAAAAATATATAATATATTTATTTAATTTTTTATATAATATAGTACACTAGCTGTGCCCGCGGTTTCATCCGCATAAAATTTATAACCTTATAGTTATTCTGATGTATAAGCTATATTACTGTAAAGTTTCATCAAAATTCATTCAGTAGTTTTTGCGTGAAGGATTAACAAACAACCATCCATACTCACAAATTTTCGCGTTCAAAATATTAATAAGTTTAAATTCAGTTGCGAACCAGATTTATGAATGTTTATTCATAAATCTGGTTAACACATATAGAAAGAACAGTTTTAAAAATATAAATTCAAAAATAATAAAATTGTCAAACGAGTACTGTTCTTCCTGAACTAATTTCGATCCAGTGACATTCAATTGCAGTGTTTTCCATCTTTTTATACTCTTTATATTGCGAAAATGTATAAATGTATGCCTTTGTTTTTTTTTTAGCGACAATTTCAACATCAAACATCGGCAGACGCGCATACTGCCCTCAAGTTAACGCTCGGGGACTTCATTGGAACTGGACGTTGGTGAACACTTACAGTGTCCAGCCCTGTCCGGGGGGTGCTAGCGGACTGGCCAAGTGGAAGTGAGTATTGTAATGGAATATTCTACAGGACTCTATTCTTCGCATTTAGCGTCCCATCTGGGCCGTTGTGCGTGTAGAGCCGAGACTACTAAGGTATAGCCAGCCAAGCATCTCTCAGAAGCGCAGAAGTCTCCTAGTGTTTTCACAGGCTTCACAGGTCACTCCGACCTCACGGTTCCGAAGATTTGTGTACGTTGTGTGGCCACTGCTGCGTACTCCAGGATTAAGGTAAGCAGCCGTCCCTTCGGCTTCAAAACAGCCTCGACAAAGGGGACTGTCTGTAGCACCTATTGTGTACAAATGTTTGTTTAAGGAACAGTTTAAGTGTTTAAGTTTGTTTAAGGTCTTGTGTGATTGTTTTTATTAGTGATTATTATTCTATAGGTTCAGGTAAGGCCACCAAGGTCGTCATACGGTTCAAATTAAATTATTACATAACTCCGTATAACGAACAATCTAATCAATGCATAATATTTTTTAAGGTGTAAATTATAATCGCAATGATTACATTAATATTATCAGGGTTGATGTCATTAGGACAAGGTTTATTAATAGTAGAACAATGCCCTATTACAATAATATTATATAATAGGGCGTTACACTATAATTATCACTTTTTAATTAATGTATTGATATTATTATTTTTTCCTTTACCTAAGGTCTAATACCTACTACTATTAATTAATGTTGCCTCATTTAGAGGATGGACATAGACTTAAAACAGTCGGAAGTTACTGACCATTGGGGAAGGTCGTAGCGCTTCTAATAGAGATGGTCAGGTTGCCGCACTAAATGTTTGTGGACTCACACATACTAATATGAAATTATTTACTATGTGAAATTAAAGAAACAAAATCATTTACATCTAATAATATAAATCTATTATTACATGTAAATTAAGGGGATGTTACCACCGTTAGATAGTTCCGTCCTGATTAGAAAAGCGATACGGATACCGTTCGGTTCGAGTTTGATAATATGAACGTATTTTTACTCTCTTATTATGTAAGCCGTTGTTGTCTAAAAACCTTTAAATTAATACCATTATTTTTATTTGCCAGGTGTGTACTGAATCAGTACCAGCCTAGTGAGGAGGAGCGCCCCCTGCGGCGGGGTACCGGTCTACCATCAGGGGAGAACTATCACGATCTGGGATTGGACAGCGACAGACAGATGCAGCTGATATCTAGGCTAGGCTCCGAAGCACTTCTAAAAGGTACGTTTTAATATTCCAAAATTTCCAAAATTGACATTTTTGTTAAATATACATATACTTAGGAGTAGTACACCATTTTATTGTTTATTATGCAAGCATTTAGGTTTCTAGGGTACATGGGGTAGTATATTAGAGGGTAAATCACAGGGTACGGGTAGGGGTAGCAGGGTAGTTCTCAGGAATGGCAATAGATGAATACGGGTGATTATAATAGGAGTACCATGATTGTTTATGGTTGACTAATTTTGTTCAAATTATATGAAAAAACATTTTTTATACTACGGTGGCAAACAAGCATACTGTTCATCTAGTGGTAAAAGATTACCGTATTCTATGGACGTTTGAAAGATCAGGGGAGTCACTTTAATAATAATTATCCACCTCAACTGCAAACATGGTCGTTAATGTATTCATTATAAATTTTAAATCGTGTGAATGCAGGCCGTGATGGTGATACGCCTGACCACGTGATCGACTACCGGGGCGGTAACGCGGATAGCCTGCCATCAAACCTACATACTCCCAATAACGCAGACCTATATTGTGAGCACTAATCTTTGACTATGTGTTTTTAGCATACTAAATACATATCTACATACTAAAATAATTAATATTAAAAACATACTCTGGCAAAACAATAGCTTTATTCGTTCTAAATATTTGAGATAGACTGAAAAGATAGATAGATAAAACGAATACTGAAGAATAACTTCATTTTAATGTTATTGCGTGGACTCGCTCCTAATTCACGCAGAAAAGTATCTGTAACAAATAATGCGCCATCAATATCTTAATTCATACAGGAAAGGTCCTTCAAACAGCTAATCTTATATATAAAATTCTCATGTCACAATGTCTTCACAATGTTCTCATGTCAAAAAACCATACTCCACCGAAACGGTTTGACCGATTTTATGAAATTTAATGGCATATTCAGTAGGTCTGAGAATCGGCTATTATCTATTTTTCTTACCCATAAGTGATAAGGGTTTTTGGACATCTTATTTTTTTATAATGTGGCATTAAAAAATGCATTTATAGTAGTATTTAAATATATATGACAAAACTACGTTTGCCGGGACAGCTAGTTTATCATAAATGTTTTTACAGTGGACACGATACCTGAATGGCTTGGCGCTACCCCCGACCTGAGCGAGTGTCGGTCTGTATGGCTGAATAGTTTGGAAGCGAGGGTCAAGGAGGGAGACTCTCTCCTCAGCATCAGCAATGATTTAGCACAGGTGAGACTAACAAACTTTATAATAATTTCAAATTAAAAAATCATTTATTCTTGTAGGACATATTAGCCGCTAATGAACGTCACATTAAAATATTATTATAATTTATAAAGAGCGTCGAGCGTAATATATAGAGAGCGTCGTGGCTGAGACGTTTACAACTAACATACAAGAGGTTGTGAGTTCAAATCTGCCAAAAATTTTATGTCTCAATTTATATTTGTAACTAAGTTTCCTATGAAGCAAACATCGATATCAAACTGTAAGATACAGTGGTAGGCCCGCCCCGACAGAGCCCGAGGCTGCTATCCAAAGTAACAACTTTCGATTCAAATATACCCAATGAACTGTGGGAATGTCAAGTGTAGCGTTCACCATGACATTGACAGTTACTAATACTTCGGACACCTGTGGAATTTCTTAGGATATGTATAAATCAGTGCTATTCTGTAACCATCACTTACGAATTTGAAAGCGGAATCCGCTATGAGATTGTACATTGGATTTCTGTAAAGCTTGATAGCGACTACAGTGCCACACACTCGAGAGTAGGATGGAGGTAAATCAGGCACTAGTGATTTTTTTAGAAATGTAAGCAAATTCGATAGCTCTTTTGGAACTTTATATTTGATAATTGATACGAGTCCCTCAAGTGAAGCGATGAGTGAAATGAGCTTATAATACGCTTACAGAATTCAAATACAGGTAATTTACACCATCGTGGTCTAATCACCTCGAATCAATTACAATGGTTTCACAAGAGAAACCGTGTTGAAGTCAGTCTGATATGCTACCTAGATAGTAAGTAGCAAAAAAAATTACATAACAATACATACCAATTGAGTTTCTTGTCAGCTCTTCTCAACTAAAGTAGCTAGCGAAATGATCCGAACTGGATGGTGACTCTATAAAAAATATGACATGCACAAGAGGCCAAAAGGTCCTAAGTTCATGAATAATTTTGAGTTAGAATTTGTGTTTCAAAGGGGCCTAAATCTAGGCCCTCATTAGTAACGAACAGTTCCCCCTCTACAGTCTCTAATTAATCTATTCACAGGTGACATCATCAAAAACATTGTATGGAGGTGACATGATGATCACAACGAGCATCATGAAGAAACTGGCTCAAGGCATGGCGCGGAACGTAAAGACTTTCCCTGATGCTAACCAGCGGGAAGCACTTGTTGCAGACATGTTGTTAGGCGTTATAAAGACAGGTGGGTGTTATAACTATAGAATATTACTTAATATGTGTGTAGTTAAAAAAACAGAGTTGCAGTATGTCTTGCTGAGTAACAGTACTGCTTGATCTGGAATTGAATGGCGATTTATGACTTGTTCAATGTACAATATTTTTATTATCATGAAATGTCTAATGTTATATATGTAAATAGTTCTCACCACAACATAAACAGTTGATATATAGATAGATATATACTATACTTTACAAATGACTATGCCAATGGCTACCCTATTTGGGATAACAGTCGTAATAGTATGACGTCATGTATGTTTACGTATATAACTTATTTATTCATAATTTTCTTTGGACTTTGACTGTTATTAAATGATATCAAATGCCACTTAGTACATATAAAGAAAATGTTAGTATACTTTATTTAATTATATATTTCAGGTTCGAATCTTCTAGAAGAAAATCAACGCGCGTCATGGGCGGACTTAAGCCCAGAAGCACAGAACCGGGCAGCCAGCGCGCTTCTCACTCAACTTGAAGAGAATGCCTTTTTGTTAGCTGAGGCAATCACGGAAGAGAGGAACATATTGCAGACCGTTAAAAATATATGTATGTAGCTGATCTACACAACTTCGTCTTCAACAGTCACTTACTTGTTTCATTATATTTCGCCCAATTTACATAATATTTTTTACAATTATAGCCTATGTGATATTCTGCCATACAAGCTATAATACTGTAAAGTTTCAGAAAAATCCAGTCACACTCGCATATTTTCCCTTTATAATATTAGTAAGGTAGACAATTATAGCCAATAAATCGTTAATTAAATTTTCAAATAATTTGTTAATTAAAAAATGATATATGTGTAATGCTTGTATTTTTACTAAATTTAAATCTAGTAAAAATACAAGCATTACACATATAGGCAATCAAGCTTCGTTTTTGTTCGTCCACAATTGTACACAAATTGTTCCTTTTTAAAGAATGTAGCTGTAAAGAAACTGAAACTTTTTAAATCTTTGAAGAAAGAAGAAATGGACCTTAAGTAATAGAATTAATGAATACAAATTTCATGTGTAAGGTAATCGTTTACCTTCAGATGGTCCATATGCTTGTTGGCCAACATTGTAGTATAAAAAAAACAAATCTTGAAATTCGAATGAATCTTACTAGTACCGTTACAAAAACCTAATTAACTTTATTCAACATTACATTTTTTTCCTCGCCATCAGGTCTCTCAGTACGAGTGTTAGAAGTGAAAAACGTTGAAGACGAAACATTTCCATCGCTCACTGCACAGGAACAGTGGAAGGGTTCAGAGGACTCAATCACCATACCCAAAGCTGCATTGCATGGTCAGTATATCTTTAAAATCCGAAGGTATTTTCTGTATATAAAACGTTGTGCCTAATTATATATGTAACTGACTTTATGGAAACATTGATGACAAACCAAATTAATCTGAAAGCCTACCACGACTCGCCCCTATCACGTTGGATAATATATATGTACACTATTGTACACATTGAAATGTGTGCCTTTACAGGCATGTTTTTCGTTATCTGCCTTGACATAGGTATGTACTTACCTACGTACGTGCTTGACGTTGCAGGTAACATCCTCTTATTAATTGCTGTACTTTCTTTTATCTTTGTCATTTTTAACCACTGAGACAAAAGGAGGTGTGTTATATGTTTGATGTGTTTGTGTGTCTGTTTGTGGCAACGTAACTCCTAAACAAATAGACAGCTTAGTGATCAAGATGGACTACAATTTATTAGTTATTTTTTTTAATTCGGAGATTAGTTACATTTTAAAGTTTAAAATGTTATAATTAATTAAATACTTAGGGGTGTTATGTTTGACGTGGTTGTGTGTCTGTTTGTGGTATTATAACTCTGAAACAAATAGACATATGATACGTTCTTTTCATTTGACAACTGATGTGATCAAGATGGTATGGTCCATGGCTACAATTTAACAATTTCTTTTTAATTCGGGGAATGCTTACATTTTTAAGTTTATATATTTTTTATTAATTATATACTTGTACTTTTTTTGTTTTTAAATGTAATTATTTATATTTTTTTACAGAAAACCGCCAAGACGGATTGGTGCGTATCGTTTTCTTCGCGTTCAACCGTCTCGAGCAGATACTGCCGCCGACCTTCGGCAAGACTCCTCAGTATGCAGCCTTCGCAGCCGACCCAGCTGCCTCTTCATCCACCAGCATCAATTCTGAACGGGAGAAGAGGAACGTCACCAGAGTCCTCAATTCTAAGGTGAGTAGACAATACACTATGAGCGTACCTACTCTCCTTCTCTACTCTTGTCCACTTCGCCTCTAAACGAGACAACATTAGGCAATGAATACAATTTGGATATAGAATGCAAGCTTAGTTGATTGTTCAGCTACTACAACGTTATTTGATGATTTGTGGTCTAGCACATGCTCATGGCAGGGGAATTACACAAAATAATATGAATCCATTAAGTAATGTAATAGACTTTCGCAAAGTAACACCTAATTCTATAAAATATATAACAATCATTCCTATTATATTAAGTTAGAGTCCATTGAATATTCTACAATAGTTCATTCTGCGGACTGCCTAGGTATTATAATGCTGACCGTAGCTGATCTATACAGCGTTACTGTCTAATCACCACCGAATGACCAGTGTTTTAATTAGGTGTTCATATAAAATATATTCCAATTCATTTTATAAATGAAGTTATGATAACAAACGTAAAACAAAATACAACCTTATTGAGAACTGCTTAAAGTCGATAGATTTGATCAATGACTCTTTAAAAAACGGGTAAAAAAAGACGTGAGCAACATATTGCAATCTAACATAATGTTTTCATACACAGGTGATATCAGCAAGTTTGGGCAATGGCAGACATATACAATTGACGCAAATGGTCAGGCTCACTATGAAGCATCTACGTACTGAGAACGTTACGAATCCGGCTTGCGTGTTTTGGGACTACACGTTACAGTAAGTATAATTACATTAAGTTTTCTTATTGAAGGTTTTGGGCTATTGTCAGGTACTAAGACCTGTAACACTGCAATCTGTATAAATCTATTGTGGTAGCTCTTTTTCAAAGTTCGCTTCCTGGTTTCCTAGACCAATCAGGGCCAAGAATTGAAGGATATTCTCAGGAGCGATGGTTTTTATCTCCTCGGATGCATAACATGAGTGGGCTACAACCACATAGGATGTGTAGTGGCACCGCTCGCCATCGACTGGAAATTCATCCCCACACGCTACAACCTGAGTGGTCTAGAACAGTGCGGTTTCAGAGGAACTTCCTCCCACATATACCTGAAGTTTTTCTCGAATGATTAAAGCAAGGGGTTTTTCTAGACGGGTATACTAAGGTTTCAAACGCGGCGACGCGTACGTTTCAATCGTCTATAGGCGAAGGTAACCGTATGCCATCAGATGGGTATGCTTGTTTGCCACTGTCATATTATAAAAAAATATTAATGAATCGTTTTCACTTACAGTGGCTGGTCTCCAGAAGGCTGCCAAGTGGAATGGTCCAACTCTTCGCACACTGGGTGCGCCTGCTCCCATCTCACGAACTTCGCAATCCTCATGGACGTCCAGGGAATACCACTCTCCGATAATCACGTGCTGGCCCTCCGGCTGATCACCCTCATCGGCTGCGCTATCTCATCCGTAGCACTCTTTGCTGCAATCATCGTGTTCCAGTGCTTCAAGAATATGAAGGTTTCTGTCTCTGAGGTTATACTTATATATTTTCACAGGTCATATGTAACCAGGGGCTTGATTATGTAAAGCAGTTGCTAATAATTTATTTCAAACAAATTAAAGTTTATAGTTTTTCTTTCTGGACAACTTGATACTTCAAATCTAATTTCAAATCTCAAATTTCAAAATTTCTCAATTTTCAAACAAAATTTCTAATTAATTTAAGAAATTTTGTTGAGCAAGGTTGGCATTATCCTTAATGAATGGTTACAAACTTTTTTTTATTACAATACACACATATATATAGTTCAGCCTAGTGCGAAGACTAGGACATTGCCAAAATCAATATATACAATATCTAAACTGATATATATATAATTTTTAATCATAAAACTATAGATTTTAATCTGTTATAATTGCCAATTGTTAGCAATTGTACTACATAATAAAGGAGCGGTTGTGGTAGCAAGCTTTCAACCCGCAAGGTAGTGTATTTGTTTGTTTTTGTTTGCTGAATATATATCAATCAGTAACGTAATTAGTGGATTATAATAACTGTACATATGCCCTTAAGTAGTTAGGAGACCAACACCTGTACAGGTGATTTATATATGGTAGTTTGTACATATTGTTTCCTATCAATTTGTGACGGACTTAAATACAATCTGTTCTATAGTTATTTATTGATATGTTAATGTAAATATGTTACACGTGCTTTTTGTTAGTACAATGTCCGCTAGTGTTATTAAGCTTCCTTTTATACTTGTTTCGTTTTGTTTTGCTTTATACCAAGTACTTAAGTACTTAAGTATATTTTTTATGATATCATGAAACAGTATTGATTTAATAATAATGCCTACTATATAGGCTCCAAAATAATTGTGTCTAATTAAGATTGTTGTAAACTAGTAACCCAGCTATGCTTATTTTGCTTAATATTAGTGCTACCGCAAGAAAATATCTTATTTTGCAAGCAATGGTAGCTTACTAGTTAGTAATATTATTTTAGATATGTATAACTCAACTAAAGTAGTTAAGTTACTTGTAATATATCAGTGAACACTAAATAAAATTTTAGTGCAAATTTTTCAGACAATTATTTTTTTTATAATTTTATTTTTTTATAAATTTTTATTATACTAATGACTAATAATTTATTCTAAATAAAGTTTTGTAAATTATTCATAAGTGTTATTTAGGTTCGGCCTCCCAACTTTTTTTAATTTTAAATTGGCCCGTTGATTAAAAAGGATGCTCACTCCTTCCTTAAATTAATTTGCAATTGTTTTATGTCCGCAGTCTGATCGCGTGTTAATCCATAAGAACCTGTGCTGGTGTTTACTGGTCGCTGAGGTGGTGTTCATGGCCGGTATAGACCAGACCCAGAATAGAATATTGTGTGGTCTGATCGCTGGACTGCTACACTACTTCTTCTTGGCTGCCTTCGCTTGGATGTTTCTAGAAGGTATAGAATATTAATTATTATAATTGTAAAAACTGGAGTGAAAAGAAAAATAACTTTTCTTCGATATTATTTTCCAATGACACGTGTAAGATTTATAAGTTATCAATAACACTATAATTATGTCTTTGCCGTATAGTTAGATGTCCAGCATTAATTAATTATTATAAAAATGCGCAAAAACAAGAACGATTCAAGAACGCACGAGCATGAGTTGATGGCGCGCTATCTTAACTTTAATAAAATAATAGAAATGTAAAGGTACATATGGCGGACTTAACACCTTAATGCATTTTCTCTTAGTCAACAATAGGCAAACACAGATTATTGGGCGGTGCATTTAAGTAATACATTAAATAACAATAATAAGAAGTAGTAGGTATAAAAATCGGTGCTTAATAAAAATGCACTCATATAAATGATGCTTCGTTCCAGGGTTCCATCTGTACGCGATGCTGGTGGAGGTGTTCGAGCCGGAGCGTCCTCGCGCGCGCTGGTACTTGGCGGGCGCGTACGTAGCCCCGGCACTGGTGGTGCTGGCCTCCGCCGCAACCTATCCCGCAGGATACGGAACCTCCCGCCACTGTTGGCTCTCCACCGACCGACTGTTCGTCATGAGCTTCGTCGGGCCCGTCGCCCTTGTGCTTGCTGTAAGTATAGTACTTTATATTCAAGTGGCAGATAGTCACAAAGGAATGATGACTATGATGCAGCAATATGCTGACCACACATGTATACAAACACACACACATACTTGCACTCGCATTTGAATACGCACGTGCGCATGTACACGAACACGCACACTTATATATAATTGATATTTTTTGTAATGTTTTTTGTGTGTCTTTTAATATTTCATTCATTTTTATTTTACGTCGAATGTAATTACATTAGAGTGCCGTGTTTCTAAACATCTACCGAATTAATACCATTTCATTTCCTAACAATCGTTCTTAGTGAAATTTGTGTATTTGAAAACAGTAGTTAATTGATGGAGTTATCTTAAGTTTAAAGTCGTAGTGTTGTTAATCATCATCATTATTGCCTTGCCTAGTTTAGGGGTCGGTTTCAACTTATCCCTATCGGTCGACATGGTTGAACTTAGATTAAGATAGCCTTTGCAGGTGAACACAGTAAATATTTCTTCACATTCCACAATCGCATTGCACCAGTTTCTAGCATCCAAAACTTAACAAAATAAAATTAAGATTAAATATAAATTATATTTACAGAACAAATTAAATTTCTCTTTTCAGGCAAATTGGATATGCCTCAGTATGGTCATTTATATGATGTGCCATCATTCGAATGTCTCGGTCAAAACGAAGGAGAACTCAAAATTATACAAAATAAGGTAATATTCTGAACTATTTATTATACTATAATGGTGGCAAACTAGCACATGGGACATCTTGTGGTAAACAGCTACAACAGCCTACAGATGCCTGAAATACCAGAGGTTATATGCGCCTTGCGAAAGATACTTAAATATACATTTTGAACTATTTCACACTATAGTGGCTTCGTTCTAATTGATTCACAAACGTCTGCAGTTCCGACGTTTCTATTTTACTATTAAAGTTAAAGATATTGAATGTTAGTGCCTACCTTATTCACTGTATGTACCATATACCACTTAAAACTCAACCGACAGGTCTTTTCCCATTGAAATTAAGGAGTGCATATTTAATAATAATAATTACCCCAGGACAATTAACACAATGCCGTCTAATACCAAGCTAAGCAGAGCTTACATTATGGGTACTAGACAACTGATAAACAGACTTAAATGCATATATACATAATATACCATAAATAGTACAAAATTACATTAAATATTTATTTCACTTTTCGTTCCCAGGGTATGGTTACACAGCTCTATGATCCTGGCCTTCTTACTAGGGCTGACGTGGACCTTCGGACTGCTATATCTAACGGAGCAAACAGTCGGAATAGCTTATACCTTCACGATATTGAACTCGTTGCAAGGTCTCTTCATATTCATCTTCCATTGTCTTCAGAACGAAATTGTAAGTAGTTGAAACAAATAAGTTTTACTGTATTATATATTATAGTTGATATAATTTGTGAAATAAATTATATAATAACAAATGTATAGAACGTGTATACACTATACATTAAAAAATGTATCTTCCATTAATATTATTAAGAATTTGAGCTATTATTCTATATATACACTCTCACTTACATATACAACCTTCAATATTGATATGCGGTATAAAATTATATTTACTATATCGTAGTGTTAGGTATATATTCTAGTATATTGCCAATAATGACCGCAGCGTACGCGATATAAAGACTTTGGCCACACGTTGGTTTGCATTAAGAAAAATTTTATATCGATTCCTAACGTTTTTGAAAATATTTTATCGCATATGTTGATCAGGGATAGTGCAGTAGTTTCGAAGCTTACTTTGTATTATTAAAGTATTGATAAACTTTGTCGACCTACATTCCTTAACGAGCATTGTAAATGATCAGTTCCAGAAGGAGATGGGTAGAGTGGCTCGCCGTCACCGGTGGCTGGCGTGGTGCGGAGCGCTGGGCCCCGCGCCGGCGTCGCACGTGGACACGCGGCAGGCCTCCGTCAAGAGCCGCCGCTACCACGCGCCCGCGCCCGACTCCGACGACGTCGCCGAGGCCCGCGACGTCACCGTACGTACCCACCATCCACTCTACCGCTCACACCATTTTTATAGTTAACTAGCTGTGTCCGCGGTTTCAGCCGCGTGAATTTTTCAGCCTATGTGATACTCTATTGTATGGGCTATATTATTGTAAAGTTTCATTAATATCTATTCAGCAATTTTTGCGTGAGAGAGTAACAAACATCTACACTTACAAACCATCAAGTTTATAATATTAGTAACATATATAATACGAATGATTTTATGGTAAATAAAGATATTTACCTCTCTCGATGCTTTTAATAGTTCGTACTACTGCAGCCTATTTGGTGAACCCAATTTTAAAATGGAAGAGATTTTAAAGTTGACATCTGCATGGAACAGCGATTAATAAATTTTAAAAAAGTTCAGAAGCATCGGTTAGTAATTGTACGGATACCGTGAGTACTGTGTATCACGATTTTTCGTCACACAATCTAATAATGATAGTTGAACAAACTGCTGGTACCTATAAACAATGACTTTGCTGTTATTCCAGTCAGCTCAACATTTATCTAATATAAAATTATTCGTATTAAAACCTATTTAACTGTATTAATAATATAGTTAAACGCCAATCGGACTGCAGTTGAATACGGTAGTCGTCTGACGAACCGAATATGTGTGACATCATTTAAGAATTAGAAAAATTTATTGTTGCCAATGAAATCACATAAAAATACATTTAAAGGGTATTTACTTAAATAAGACAAAAGAAAAGGTTCATCGAATGCCGACACTCCCACATTTAGCAGAATCATATTCACTATACTGTCTAATAAAATAAATGCCTAAAGGCGAACTGAGAAGCAAAATAGTAATTCAACCTTTTGTTCATACCAAATCGAGTCATCATATGACCATTAGTATGACTAGATTGGTTTTTGCTTACATACTATTATTATGTAACGTAAATGTAGGTACAACACTAGATCGGAGTTATATTTACATCATTAATAAGAACGTGTTAACCGTAATATCATTTGCTTGGTTTACATTTTAATATAATTGGTGGCGGTTATGATATGTCGCAATGTGTACATATTTTGAATTTTCAATTCTTTACTAGTATAGATATAGCTTAATACAGAAGTCAAAGCTTCTATAATTTTGAAATTATTATTTCCATCTCGTTTAACATTATTAAATACATGTATAATGCACGCTGCTTATACAACAATTGTATACGTCTTTATTTAAAGGACCTATTAAAAAAATATTTATATTAGTAAAGATTGTACATTAACACGATATAAATAAGTATAAAAGTGCATATCATTAACAGAGCACTGCAAGCACGTCCGTGTCAGCGTCGACAACAAACAACCTCGTCATCAACAATCTGAACGTTGTTGTAAACAACAACAATCACAACAACAACAACGTTATCAACAACGCCTCTGTCGCGTCCCTAGCCGCAGCAGCCGCGGCCCACAGTTACCACACGAATAGAAATCGTAGAAATTCCCAAGAGAACCAAAACTTCGGGCCTTCTACCAATTTTGGTCCCACTCTAAACGCGACAGCGTCTAATTTCACCCACAATATGTCAGATAGAGAACCTGCTGCCCCCATGTCTCATTTACGGAACCCCATGAACCCCGGAAGCGGAAGATACCCGCAAGGATACAGACAAAATGTCCAAAGAGGTGCGTACGCATTTTTACGAGATAGGATTGAAAACAAAATTTAAATTTAAAAGTAAATACCACCAAACACCACTTTGGCTTGATTTGTAACTAATTAAAGACAGCTCAATTCGTTTCTTTTTTGTGTGTGTCATAACATTTTTTTTATTGTGTTTTTGTCTGTGTGACTAACAATATATGAAATGTCCTATTTGGACATCTAAAACACAGCGTGAATTTAAACGCAAAGGTGTGTTTTTTAACGATGTTTTTGTACGGTAAGTCATATTTTGTTTTTTTATTATTTCGTACTAAACACTAACGCTTCCAAAAATCTTACTAACTATATGCTGCAAAACTTTTCTATTAACCAAATATTTAGTGGTGTGGTGGTCATAGTATGTACTTAAATGGTAACCAGTATATCTAAATATATGACGTATAGTCTTGATACTGTAAAGTATAAAGTATATTTACTGTAAAGTATCAAAATCCTATCTCTAAATAATGCGTATGCAAGTTCTGATAGCTTTCAACCTCTATCTCTTTTCATTTTCCTATATACTTGTGTAGGAATATATCAAGTTTATTTCAGATTATTTGATTTCAGGTTGTTGATGTAATATTTTACTGTGTGCTTAATACTTATTTACATATATTTCTATACATTTAATATATATGTAGTTACATACATAACCTAATTATCTTTCAGTAAAGGATGTCGCTATTTTATTCATTAAGTAATCAAGGATTTTTAGCGTTTAAATATTAAGTACCGTGTATTGAATACTCGACATAGCTAGGTGATAATTGAACATAGAATATCGTCAAGTATGCATAATTAACGTTTAAAAAATAAACAGAGCTACAACATACAACCGGAGCCGTCAAGATGGAACATAAGGCCCACTGCCCCGATATACGTCCCGAACGACGAAACTAGAAGCACACGTGTGCCAACACCGCAAAATATACCGCACAGTTCGTCGCACACGCAAAGCATAGCGTCGATGCATAGCTACAGAACCAATATCGAAGTACCGAACGATTACCAGAATCTGAGATCGCGGTCGCCATCTTGTTTTTCTAACAAAATGGCCGCGTCGATTGGCGCGAACGACTGGGCGCTTATGACGAATGGCGGCAGTATTTGGAAGGTGAGGGGTGGGCTGTGAATAGCTTGTGTGAGCTCTTAGTGTTATGGTTTGTTTTTGTTCGCTTTGGTAAGATCTCTGCTACATGTTTTTTTGTTAAATGTACAGGATATAGGTAATTTTATTATGTTCATGAAAATGGTCGATCACGAGACACATATTTGTTTATATGACTAAGGCTGTTGATATACCTCCAGACGTTTAATTGTCAATATAGGTTGATGCCGTGTATCGTGTTTTTTGTTTAATGATACAAACATAAATTTTAAAATTTCCCGTCTCTACTGGGTCGCGATATTGTTTATTTATTTTGTTTCTACTGAAATTAAAAATTAAATAATGTAATTATTCGAGACAAATAGTTCAAAGATAAATTAGTCAGAGAATGTATCGTGACAACAAATAGATAAGCAGCTACACTTTTGTATTTATACTATTAGTATGGATATTCAAAAACTTAATAAAAGATGACAATGTTGATGTCATAACGATGCTCACATATTAAAAATTCAATCTCCTACAACAGTCTAGTGGCTTGTTAATACCAGAACTGTAACAAAGAAAATAACATTACATAAGTAAAAAATAAATAAGTAAATAAAGTAGACTCGACTAGAGTCTGTTGAGAATTCATGAAATCAGTGTATATAATACATTATATATTTGTATACAAGCATTATAAGTAACATTTAAAGCAACTTATATGTGTACTGTAAGTATATACACAGTGCAAAACAAAGCGCGTTGATATTGGGCTTATGACCTATTCACAATATAATGGAAAGTGGATGAAATATGAATTTATATAAAGTTTAATTTCGATATATATTGTTTATGTAAATATCAAATAAAAAGTGAAATATACAGTAAAATCTCAGCTAATTAGTATTAGCTTATGAAAAGGAAATTTATGACTTGGTAATGTACTAATTATCATATTAAAATCATTCATCTGAGTCTTTGCTTTTATCGGAATTAGAGTAAAAATACATCTCAAGGTCTTTTAAATGTAATATGCTAGATTTAGAATTACTGCGTCTTAAAAAGTTATCGGAAAGACAAACAATGCGAGTGTGGAGATACTCGTACATATATAAGCAACGAGAAAGGTTAGACTTGTGAATGAATGTCCAATGTTTGAGAGAGAAGTTACGAGTAATCGAAAATTGATTAAAATTTGTCTTAGTGTCAACTATAACTAATATATTATTATCATTATATATATAATATAAGTATGTGTGTATAAACGTTTGCTTATTGTCACATCTGTCTGATGCTATTGTATTTATATTATACAATATAATATATCATTTTATATTTTTATAATAACACGGTGATGGTGTAAATAAATTATATGTACGAGATAAATTATACGAGATCTTACAAAAGCGTAGACACCCTTCAATTATAACAGCATGTGACCTAACCATAGCATTTGCATGTAATCATCCAACTTCACACAAATACATCAGTACCACCCATCCCCTTCTACTTAAGTACACAACCTATAGTTTACTCTTAATTAGATCATCCACATAGACTGTTACAATGATCGCACTTTAGTTGGTAGGGTGAATGTAAAATGATTTCATCCTTAAGACATATCTATAAGATACAATAGAAATAGAAGTAAAACTAATCTTTATTTAAATAAAAAAACTTGATATGAGCACTTTTGAATAGTCATATTTTTTTACTCTACCTCTCATTAAGAATGCAGACTCATCACAAGAAGAATAAGCAAGAAACTTACGTATTGCTCTTGTAAAGAAATGTCATCATAACAATAATTACATTTTTAAGAATTTAATTTGAATAAAAACTAACAAATAACAAAGTTGACATTAATAAATACATAAATAACTAATTACGTAGTAAAATAAATCATAGTTATCAGAGCAGACAAGTCCTTACAAGCAGCACCGCAATAAAATTATTTTCTTAGAAACTGTAATATAAATTGAATTTTATAGAGAAAAGTATTGTTTTCTGGTTTGTGACGGAAATACTTAGAATAAACCTACCTGGTATCAATAATTGTTTCGTATACCATATTTTTATCTACGTTATCATAGAGTAATATGGGGCATTATTATAGAGATCTATACTAAAATGTCCATTCGATACTGAGCATATTACTAGTTTATTTTAATAATAAATCAACAATATAAACAGCTTCATACTAAACTACATTAACTAAAAAGACAGCTAAATTTCAGAAATCAACTTTAAGGTATTTCATTTAAAGTTTACTTTCTAAAATATGACATTTTTGAGTTAATATAGTTTAGTATTAGGCTTACTAAATATGGAAGAGAGGTACTGTTAAAATTAATAGTCGTAGCTACAAGGAAACACCTAGTCTCTACGTACGAGATGCAAGAGTCGCAGAAATTGTTGCACATAAGTATATTGACTCAGATCACTCAGGGCAACATACATTGTTGCAAAAAAAAAGAGACTCAACTAGTGACCGACAGATATATTAATATTACAGCCACAGTTGTGCGGTTGTCTCATAACTTTACCTGAAATTAAGTCATGATCAATGTAAACATTTTAGTACTTTGTCACAATAAAATATTGAGAATTCCCCACTTTATGTGATTATTAATAAAAAATATTATTGTGACAAGGTAATAAGTTCTCATGGATATACAACTGTACTATTAGACTGAACCGCGACGATGTAATGTAATTACATCAGTTTAAGATTTCGTTATATATTTTGTTTTTATTCGGAAATGTATATGTAATTACTAATTCAAATAGTAATATACTAACGGATCAGAAGGTTTGAAATTAATACACAATTTTTTTATAGAAATGCACGTCTTAGTGACCACTTGTTTTTCTTTTACTGTTACCGTAGATTGTAGATCAATATACTCATGTAGACTGAGAATAAATATAGTTAAATAACTAAAGAACTAACCAAGTAATTAACTTTAAGTAACTAAAATTTTTATCTATAATTTTTAAACTAATCATTACTAGAAATTTAAATCATTTATATATTGTTAGTCGTTACTTCCGTTTATTTCCTTATTATTACTTTTCTTATCATAGGAATGATATGAACGTACGATTATGTTATTTCCTTTATGTAAAGAAACAAATTGAGCTGACATTTATAGATTATATATTATAAATGCCATACATCTTTACATAAACTAATAAATTCCTTATTTCCACAGAACACTTCTTCTAAGAGTCATTCCAATACTGCGACGCTCCCTCATCACGACACCCTCTCCAGGCAGCTGGCACAGCAGAACCATATGCATGCCCCATACAGCGACTGCGATGTGCCCCTCGCCCCAGGCTCTCCTCGCCATGGCATTAAGGATGAGGACAGTCCTCTCCACCACCAAGGGTACCAAACAACTAGAAGCTACAACCATGACTTCAGGAATCCTCACGTGTTCATATCCCAACACTCCCCTGGAAGCCAAGATATGATCTATCGGAAGCACTACAAGGATGAACGACGTAAGCACCATCATCACCACGGAAGTCAGAATATCAACCATACGTACTCAGAAATTGGGTCGCAACAGGGCAGGATATACAGACGGGGCTCTGAGCAGGAGTTTCGTGTGATACAAGACGATCCTGTTTACGAGGAAATCGAAAGAAATGAGACGATGATGTCGGATGTGTCCGACGATAACTCGGGTCCTGACAACTGCAGGCAGAATCCTGCACTGCACGGGTCCTCAGGTTCCAAGTTCTTCGGCGATCATCGTCCTCTAATCTCGTATAGTCCTGGAGAGAGACACCATCACGATCAGGAACTGTACGGGAAGTATGGAAAATGGGATACTGCTGAGCGATACGACCCGAGACACTACGAAAGCGGGAGATTGATGCATCCTTATCATCAGCCCCAAGAAAGTAACATGCGAGCGTTAGCAGCGGTACTGAACGGTGAGAACAATGTAGTTTGCCATTTAGAGCCGCACAATCCATACGACGTGTACCAATCCCAAAGCGGTAACCCTAGGACTGTTTCGCAGCCGAGTTTTTAAGTGGCAACCCTGAAGTGAGATTTGAATTCGAATTCGAATTGAATCGACTCGAAATAATGTGATTAATACGATCGAGTTAATAGTGAACTCGACGTGTTTCGTTTGAGTGTTAGTGACTTTATAGACATGAATGGACAGTAATGTACAGATATAGCGAATGAATTTTTCTATGGACGTAGATATAGTAAGTCTTAGTGACACGATACATAAGTGATAGCGTTTACTGTAGGAACTTGCCATAACATGGACGTTGATATAACATATATTTATAGTATAGAATGTAAACGTAAATTAAAATCACTTTTTCCACTGTGATCCTATTTAAATATAAACGCTCAAGTATCAGTGTTGCGACCACATATTTTACTTTTTATGGAATTAGGGCGTTGCGCACGCTTAAATTAATGGCGCCCCAAAGACAGTCTAACTCCCATATTTTAGAGTACGAGAACATGTGAACGTTCGTGTGTAACCGCCCTTACACTGTCTAAACATTCTAAGAATTTGCGTAATATAGAAGCAAATCGAATATTAGTCAAATAACTGCAGTAGTAATAGATTTATTTTAAAATTGCCCAAGTTCTAAGGATTGTTAGACAGACTGACAGCAATTTTGTATATAAGATTAGAGTTTAGTACTAGACTCGTTAGTACTTCCGGTGTGCCCTTACTGTTTCTATCAGCGATTTCTTTAGATAAAAAAAATATATCATGGCATTTTTCCCTTAATGTAGGTACGATAATCTGTGATGTTTCTTTTGTACACTTAGATTAAGTTATGCTTACGCCATCTTGGATAATGTACAAAAACACTGCCATTGTAATTGTTATACAGAGTGATGGTTTATTACTTGTACAGTTTTCGAATATTTAAATCTCGAATATTTTTTTTAATTAATGATAGTGAATCTGACTAAATTTAAATATACACAGCTATCAATCATCTCATTTGTAGAAGGTAATTAATTCACCACGCATAATCAAGTACGCTGGATAACGACAAAATCGCGTACAATAGTCCGTTAAATCTAATAGTAGTAATAAAGATAATAAAAAAAAAGTTGTCCTTTTTTTAAAAAGTAAATTAATATAAAATTTTATCCTATTGTAAACCATCATGATGTATAATTAATACTTAGAGCTAAATTGGGAGATAAAATACCAATTTGCTAGGCCAATCATAAAATTCGACTATTTTTCCAACTCGTTACACGGTCTCGTGTAAAAGTTTGTCAGATATCGCTACATATGTAAGCATCCGGAGAAAGAAATTATTATTTATAATCAATAGCTACTAAAAATATCAATCTGGCATTTTTCTATTTACTAGTCTAATCAGAAAGCTATGAAGTTATGAAAATTGTATATTTTCTTCCCATTTTAGCCCTAATCTTATTATGCTATTATTTGCTAAGGCATAACAGCTATATTTATTTCCAGTGCTTCAGCTTTATTATATTATAATTTGTTTTAACAATTTTTCGGAAAAAATCCATCCAACCTATTATAGACTGACACCATTTGATGTTGTGCACTTTTCTGTACATTAGAAACTAGTGTTATTAAATACTAAAAGAAAGTATATATATTATTTGTATGAAAGTAAATTTAATTTTTATTAATGCCATGTTAAAGTCTCTTTTTCATTAAACAGTGAGTACAAATGGAATTGATTTTACAGAATTGTTAAAAAAAAAGAATGTGAAAATTCAACATTACTTCATGTATATTTTGAATCGATTAAGCAATATATTAGACTGGGGTGTTCTTTTATAAATTGTCGGCCATTTTATATTTAATGTAACGGAACAATTTTTAAATCTCGTTGCACCGCGGCCGAAGTTTATAAAATAACTTTTACATAATGCGAGGTACATTATGAAAAAGTGGGGAAATTTTATTTTTTCTAATTGGGTATACTAGTCCATCTATTTTTCCCACTGTCTTATATATAATATTAAGTGTAAATTTCGTCTCGTGTATTTCTGTTACTATATATATTTTTTTGTTTTGATTGTATTTTAAAAACGTTGACAAGTATAATAAATGTAAAGTAGCAGAAACGAAATGTGTAAATAATTTAAAGTTTATATAAATAAAGAGTGGCTGTTCTGTGAGGATATCCACAAATGAAAAAAAAAAGATTTTATTTGAATTCCCGATTAATCTTAAACTTTATTTACTTTTTAACAACAGTTACATACGTCAACTTTTATTTCACAAGTCATATTAATGGATCTAAGTAATTTAGGCATGACATCTTAGTCGTCTGATAGTAAACAGCTAATTAATCCGACTGGCAGGCTGGCAGGTAAATCCTACTCTACCTTACTCCCCCTTAGGTCCAAATTTGCTCACTGAAAGATATACTGATATTTCTCTTTCTGGAAATGACTCTTTATAAATAATTGTTTAATAATTTTATTATTAAAACAACAGGATTCTATAAGTGCCGTGTTGTAATACTTTAAATATAGTTTGTCTATAGTAGGTTTCTATTACATCGATATCGCACTGGATACAAAAGCATTTCTTAGTTGAGTGTTACAAATGATCTACTAAAAATATATCTTTCTTTTTCTAACTTCAGTTCTCAACAATTGAATTATTCATTCATTCAATACGATTACTTATGTACCTGAGCTCTTGGTTAAGTGGACGATACCAATTTTTTTCGAATTGTCGATTAGTGTCCATTCTCATAGACCTCTCAAAATTATATAGCAATCGAATTGCTGCTATTTCTGTATTCTTGGTACTTTCTTGTTTAAACAGTAATGTCTGACTTATCTGTGCAGGCTGATAGACCGACCACTGGGAATTTTGTTTTGCTACTATTTTTATATTCCTAATATTTGTCTAAATTGAATTGACACGGCTCACGAAGTCCAGCAGATCTACGGTACTCTGTCAAAGAATCCAGTTTTGTATTTTTATTTAGAAACATAATCAAGACTCCGTTTAAATCGAAAATAATTTCGCCAGTTATTCTAGTTATTTCATTGACCATGAAATATGGAGTTAATATTTTTATATTGTATTTACATTTACATTTGTATTATTTTTTACATTTGTATTTACAAGTATATTAATTCTCGAAAGGGCGCAAATACCATTGTGTAGAGTTTTAGTTTCGAATAGATTGGCCGATCGCCCAGTTTCTAAAATAATGTAAAAGAATTACAAATCATAAAACTCTGTAATTATCTAAATAAATTGATTACCACTTAATTCAGTATTCAAAAAGGACAAGCGACGCTTTTCTATATGACTCTGTATATTCCTAGACCTCTTTCAGGTCTTTGACGTTATCTCTATTGATCTATTACAAATTCCAAGTAAATTAGTCTCAGGGACGAAATATTTTTGAGAGTCATATTTTTAAAAACCATCGTAGTATATAGATATCGTCAGTTATAATTGAAAATTATATTATCAAAGATTTACTTCTTGCATTTGTGCCACAGGGCAGTGCATTTGGTCCTTCTTTGTTTTAATGTAACTATGTTAATGATATTGGTAAACACTCAGTACTATTTAACTAGCTATCTTATTTTGAAATGTAAAATATTTTTGCTGTATGTATATTTATCTCACTTATATATATTTAGCTATCGTTATTCAAAATGTATATAGGTATTCGCTATCTCCGAAGCATTGTCAAGCCTATATGATTTGTTTTATAAATATAGTATACCAAAATAATATTCTTTAATTAAATATAGACTTTTTTGTTTTTCTTTAAATACCTATTTTGGAGAAAGGGACTAAAACTGCAAATTAGATTTATAAACTAATTCTGTTATTGTTAGCATTTTTACATGTTTAAATAAATTCTTTTAAATGGATTAATAATACACTAGATTGTGGAAATAAATAAACTGTATTTTTCAGTGATACACATATATTTCCATTGAAAATGATGTTACACCCACAAAATAATACGAATATTGTATAATGTGAAAATTTATTCCATAAACATAGAACACGAACATGTTAGTTATTTCTGACAATAATCAAGCTACGATGACACCATAACGTAACCTCTAACACCATACGTCTACAGTATATTTGTAAAAAACACAGATATATATTTTTTTATTTAAATCTTTTCAAAACAATTGGGAGATCTTTATGAAGGCACATATCTAGTTGCCTCGAATGAGATCTATTTTTGAAAACTCTATCTTCCGACATATTTTTCTATAATCTTAACATTACAAAAAATATTTATTATTACAATTACGCCAAAATAATACGACTCATTACATTTATTATATATTTATTTATAATTAAAAACTGGGTAGGTACTGATATATTTATCTTGTATTATATAATTAATAAAATGTCACCTATTATTTTAAGCACCACCCGCTAGTTACCTTAAAACATATATAATTTTGAACGAGATCCAAACCATGTCGAATAAAAGTAGAACGCACGTAAAACATCAAATTATATAATAAGAGCCTACTTAAAATTAGATTTAGAGTATGAAATTGATATTAATAGGCACCTATCTAGATTTACTTAGCAAAGATGGAGTATTTGACATGTAAATGTAATACGAAATGATTCATGAGTGAAAGTCACTAAAGGTGACATTTAGGTACACAATTCAAATTAGCTAATTAGTATAATAAATGCCGATGACAATGAGAAATTGAATAACAAAAAGTTGTAAACACGAGGAAAAATCTATAATGTTAATTTCCCAGAACTGTTATCTCATATCCAACATAACATGTACATTAAGTAAATGGAAAATGATCGAATGCGCTTGTTGTATAATTTACAATATTGCAAGCAGAATGCCACTGAAATAATGCACTTATTACACTACGACTTAAGACTTATATTGAAAAATAAATGCGGTATTTTAAAAACTTGTCCCAGAAATTGTCACATTTCTGCATATTATAAATAATTACGATAATGCATTATCACTTTGAACTTTTATACTTTGTTATCTATTCCATCCATAAAAGGTTCATAAGGTTACATGATATAAATATTAAAGATTATTGATTTAAAAAAATAATAAGTATTCTATTAACCGTTCCGATATCGAGTTATTTTAGAACTTGAAAATAAACGGAACGATAAGTTGCTACGTAAGAATTCTAAATGTATTCATGATTCATGTCTACAAACAGTTTTATGGAGAAAATAATAGAAATCTCGATTTGAATCGGATTCACACAGAATGATAATGATTCTACTGTACTCTACATAGGAGTACAAAGACTTTAAATGACAAAAATAAGCAGGTGTTTACCAAGTTTACAGCTGTGAACTGGACGTCTTATGTTAAATTGAATTTATACTAATAGATGTAGGTACGTATAATTGTATTAATGTAAATAAATTTACATAGTCACACTTCTTAGTATATGTATATCAATAATCTATGGTCACACTCACAGCACACAACACAAAGGGTCCGCAGTCTCCAACCGAATATATCACAACATAGCGATACACTAAACTAAGGGGCTACGAGGATAAACATTAGATTTACACATCCTAATAAGAGATTTCAACTTTTTGACAAATTTCCACAAAAAACCTATTTGACAGATACTATAATTACATATTCTACTTGTATAAATTGTAACAATAATATTGTAAAAGTTGAAATGAAATTACATATTTTTAAATTAAAAATAATACCAAAATATTTTACGTATATTCCATAGTTAATTATATTTTTTGTTGAGAATTCGCCACTAGTTTCAGAATGCTCAATTGGTCACAAAAATTCGAAGTTGATTGATTTGAGACTTTTTCAGTTGTAATTTATTAGATGAAATCTATAAAATAGCAATGTATTTCATTAGTTGCAAAAAAAGACTACTCGGGAAATTTAACAGAGCGAACAAAGCGATGCAGATATTGCATCGTTGCCGCTTTATAAGTAGAGAATTCAAAAAATTCTGAATCTAGTTTAAACATTTACTATTGATATATGTATGTATGTAACATTTTACATATTTATACTTCTACATTAAGTTTTTAAACACTCGTAGCCGATCTATCTTAAACGGATGTTGCTATGAACACCCGCAGCTTTCCACTACCATACCGGGAATCGACCCATATATGATTTCCAAGTCATGGTTGAAGTACAGCATTGTGATACTGCTCATTCTTCTTGGCGCACAACAGGGTCCCCCACTGCCTTGTGGCGCTGCTAAATGAACTATATGTGTGTGGGGGAACTTCTGAAGGAAGCTGAAAGGACACTCCCCACTGCAGTAGTTCGCGTCGTACAGTTTGGGGGCTATGATCCAATCCCAGCCGAACTCTTCGAAGTTAACGACGAGGGGATACCGACAGCAGCGTACTTCCTTGGTGTTCTCCGTGCAATCCATGCCAATCGTCCGTCTTGTACGTTTATGTGAATTGTCTCTTAGACTTACTTCTATATATGGTATCTGTAACAGACAAAATGGTTGATAATTTTCTTTATGTAACCGGAATAGAAGCTTTTGGCCAACGTGATGGTAAGTGGCATCATTTATGAATAGCATCACGGACATCACGTCGTGTGACAATTGTGGTGTGTATTCACGAAGGACTAAGAGATCCTTCAAATCCTGTAATTTTACTGCAAAATCTCACCATCAAATTGAAACGTACCTTACAAAGCAGCTGACATAGTAGATGGTTTTGTTTAGAGACGTAAAAAATCTTTCGACTGCGGTAGATTTCATATAAATTTCGTTCGTGCCGTCGAAGAGCTTGCTTTGTAAGATCTATTTTCAGTTCGATCCCATGTATGAATTTTAAAATAATATTAATAATCTGTTCTCTGAACATATTTAATTATCTTACATTTTTTATATATGTAATCATTAAATTTTATTGTGCCATTACGGATATAGGTTACCATTTAAAAAATTATCTTTCAGTTCATTGACAGAATGACCTATGTCTCCTAATTGCGTTGACAAATGCGATCTATCTTATACTGATGGTCCAAGAATTTTTTTATATGACTAAAATGATAATCAAACTGGCTGCCCACCTGATAGAAAATTATAACTATCAGTTGCTATACATTTAAGTTCAATGAATTAAACAATCTATATATTAATATATAAAGCTAAAGCGTTTGTTTGTTTAAATTGCGTTAATCTCTAAAACTACGAATCATATTAGCTAATTCACTTTTAAATTTTATTGCCCAAAACTAAATATAGGTATTGACTTTGTAAAAGAACTCTACAATATTTAGGAGCCGAATTGTAAACGAGAACGAAGTAATAAGCGCTGGTGGGCGATCAGATGTGATGCGGTAAGCAGAAAACTTAGGGCATGATCTCTTTAAATTTTAGACTATATGAAACCGTGAGGCTACGTTAGTGTAGAAAATAGTGTTTCAATGAAATTCTCTAACTAATAATGAACACCACATCGAAATCCGTTGAATAATAAAACGAAAAAGTAATCATTAAAAAGTCGAAAAAATAACAAATACAAAATCACAGACGGTTTGTAATATTTTTTTTGAAACTACTTTAAATCTAGAATAGACTTAACTATAAAATTGTACACTGAATAAAAACAGATTACTTGCAAAACATACAATGATTGTTATTTATTCATGGTCGGGGGAAAACATGATTTAAAATTATAAATAGAGATAAACTAGAGCACATTGTTAAGCATCGATCAACAATAACAATATAACCAAATTAAGTTCAAGGTCCGTTCGTATGTACCTAACAGCAGGGGAGATAAGAGGGGAGATTGGAGCGTCTACCTTTAACAGTCAACTGCGACTGACTATCATAACCACATAACTTGTCAACTCTAAAAAATTATCGAGGTGTCCAATGTTTAAAACATTTTAGTTCTCGGGAACGGCTATGCATAAAGGGTGTCGATAAGTAGAGCATAAATATAGGATAAATGTCACATAATATTTTGTGGCATCCGTGACATCATAAAGAGGAGGTTCTATTTTTCAGAGAAATATGTCATATTATATTTTTATTAAATGTGAGTAATTTTTTTATTATTTTTATGAATGAAAGTATTGAGATTTTTATGAGTGGAAGTAAATATCTGGCGTAGTGGAAGTATTTATCTGGAATTATGTGTCTTTGACTCGGCCAAATAATTTCTCAAATAGGGTTTGGTACCGGAGTTCACCCTCCCTAGCGATGTCCTTGCATTAAAGTTGTATCCATCAGGCAGGACTTAGCCTTCTGTCACTCTATAAGTTAGCGGCGAATTTACTAATATTGCACGACTACACCATTGCCTAGTTACGATGCGAACAAGAAATATGAAAACCTTGTCATTCGGGACCGAATCTTTTTCTTGTATTATATATCGTTTGTAAATATTCCTACAATATAAATATTCACATAAACACAACCTGTTTCATCTTTCACCTTCCTGTTACAAACGAACAGATGACAATTAATAGTGGTCCCATTATAGCCTCTAAAAGTCCTTTCGTGGGTTTGAAGTGCCATTGCAATAGTTCGAAAAAAAGAGCGAGATTCTTAGATATATCAAAAATGTACTCACCAAATCATTATTTAATTCTGAAGTAGGATGTGGTACAACCAAACTCATCCTATTCTTTGAGTCTTGTACTCTCACAACTATAGCTAGGTTCTCCCTCGGCAATCTAAAGAATTCCGCGACCATATTCGTCACGTTGATCTTCAACCACTTGCCAACCTTCAGGTCTCTTCTGGACATCTTCACCGAATTATCAGTATACGGCACTGACGCCTTGTTCCCTTGACTGTTCCGTGTCACTCTGTTGACTTGAAACGTCACGGTGAAGTATTCATCAGGGTCGCTCGTCGTGTTCTGCCGAGGCTCCAACTCCTGCAGGTGGATGTTGAGGACCGCCTCGTCCACCTCATTCTGGAGAACTTTGTTGCTGAACCGGAAATTGATGACTTTCAGACCCTTGAAGTGACTGTGGCGTCTCGTGTCTGTTGATGGAAATGAATAATGCTAAAATTAAGTATAATGTTTACAATTTATTCGTTGTATTTTTAAAGAAAAATGTGTAGTCAAAATTGACTACGCATTTTTAGACTTATTATAAGACAGATTATTAATTATTTGTTTGTTATTCAATAGTTATTCATAATTATAGTTATTATAGCATATCGTAACATAACCTCCTATAAAGGAATAATAACATACTTATCAAAATAACTTTCTGTGCGTTACTCGTATAATGTTCTGTTACTTTCAAATTAAGCTCGAAAATTAGAAACGAATCCAAATTAAACATTTGTTAGGAAATGTCACATTTATTTTACCAGCTATATCAGCTAATGCTATGTTTTTGTTTTACTAGCTAATTTCGTCATTTAAAAGAAAATAACAAAACATATGTATGGTTAAAATTGCTTTGTAGGCTTTAGTTTTTATAAATAAATAATTCTAATTTTGCGACGCATTTACAAACTATATTTTTAAATATCAATTTCAGATGTATTACAACGATACAAAACCGATTCGTTCCTTCGTACATAGCTGTATAGTGGTACAGAGCCGCCACTCTGCACACTATACACACGTATGAATCACCGTCCACGCAAACATCACCACGCATACTTTTTGTAAACGTTGCAATAAAATCTGGAACAGATGTTTATAAACTGAACCTAATTCTAAATATTTTTTGTATTGCCTTTCCTGGACGCTTAAGTAATTAAAGTTTTTAGTGAATCTCTATATTTTGTCAATTTTATTTTTTAATTGTGGTGCATAATATTAATTTTGTGCAAAGGAGTTGTACACAAACGGTTATATTTTTTTTTTAATTATAAGACTTAATTAATGAATTAGAGTTTTGAACTTATTTTGACGTCGAGAATAACTGATATTAATTCGTTTACATTATCTCGATTAAAGATAGAACGTAATTTTAAAATATGTTTTAATTTAAATTCATTATCTTTTTAGGACGCATGAAATTTATTTTCTAATACTTTTGATGTAAGATGTGAACCATCCTTAGGAAATTTCCCTTGACGGTATGTTTATTTGTCTTTCTTCTATGACGGTTGCAGTTGTAAGAATCTGCTCGCAACCACATCGTTATTGCCAATCTGAAAAGAAAAGAAAAATATGTTATTTGAGTATTTACTTAAGTAAAATATAGTATATAGATATAATTAAGTAATACATTAGAATGTACGGGTAAAAATTTGTCATTATGACAAATATTTATTTACCGTTGCGTTCTAGTCTTAGAATTAGTCATAGAGTTATAACAGCATCTAGAACTGTGCATATTTGCATATAATTAAGTTATTCTTATTTGAGACAAGTTTTTTTAGGGCGAGTTTTAGTTTAGACGAAATGGTCCCTCTTACAATATTTTTTACATTATAATTTAAATTTCTTCGCTACCGTTCGTATGCTGGTTGTACACCAGTGAAAGATGAGCATAAAGTCATGACGTCAACAAGTTGCATGGGGTAACATCGTGGAAGTCACCCTGCATTTGTACATCGCCACCAATGGAGTTAGTAATCAACCATTCCCCGCCTAATTATAATTAAGTAATTACATCACGGTTTATTATGTATATACACCACATAATTATATAACAATATGTTTATATATAGAACAGTTTATCAGTCTAGGTATTAAGTTAAAGACGCATTACAGACCAAACTAAATTGTTTTATAAAAAATATTTAATAACTCCTTGATTAGCTCTAAATATACATCCATATGTTTTATACATACATCGTTATATTTATGACAGTTTAATAACCCCCTTCGGCTAGACCGAAGTTGTCACGATGACAAAATGTCAACAGTGCGTGTTAACTACATATAAGGGCACACAATATCACAGGGTGACAGAAAATTAATTAATTTAGCTGGTTATCAGCATTGTTGATTACTAACGCATCATTATGAAAACTAATTAAATAATGTAGGTATAAAAATACATTTATGCGATATTAATTATTAGTTATAATGTGTGATAACTTTATTAATAAACATAGAACTCGTTCTAAAGAAATAGATACGTTATATTATGTACTTTGTCCATATAATCTATATTAATAAAAATGAATTGATGTTTGTTAGTTTATTAATTAGTCTAACTTTGAACTCGAACAAGGATGGACTGTGTTGGCTGATTTTGGCATTATACTATTTGTAGAAATTCATGGAAGGTTTAAAAAATTGCAAGGAAAACAGTAACAACAATTCGTTCCCCTTAAAAAGTGTTCGTATCTGACAAACAAAACGCGTTCAGAAATTCATTTCATTTCATATTGAGCCGGTATGAAGTTCGCCGGCTCAGCTGGTATAATAATATTATAACTTTGAATATCTTAATATAGATAATAAAGTTTATATTATATAATAAGATACAGATATAATTTATAAAAATGTCAAGACACAAACATCAAAACTATGGACTTATTTATATAAGGCTTTGAATCCCTAGCCAAAGTTTCTAGATAACCTAATATATAAAATTGATCATTACTACGTATCCTTTCTATTTTTCCTCGCATGTTCCGATAATCGTATTTTTGGTCGGTCCAATCTTGAAACGCCATGAATTTCGATTGTAAGCATCAGCATCATGAACTCGTTTACATATGTCACTATAATATTAGTAGCCTGCCTCGTACTCCTTTCAACGTAGCCATGTATACTTTTTCTATTTTGATTGACTTGCACACAACGTCCATCGATCGTCATTAGTTTAATAAGCTGAGTTGGAGATTAGAAAATATCATTGTAATCTGCATATCCAATATGGAATAAAAGTTATAAGTAATTAAGTAATGAATCATAATCAATACAGAACAATGGTGGTTAGTTCTTTAATTGAATAACTACAACAATATATGAATATGGAATTAATACGTTGCTAGTGTATTCCGCGCTTGGGCGTTCCAAACGGGCGCCCCGGTTACTCCTTCGATCGATCTCCCGTTCAATTCAAACGGAGATCGAAATCACGACGGTGTGAGCCGAGGTTCGAACCTCTAATGGTGCCCGTAAACTAAAGATTTCTCCGTCAGTCAGGAGTTGAGCTCTTTAACCGTTGCATAAGTCCTTCCGCGAGTGTGAAATGCCACCTGCATCGGCCCCTATCATTCAGTGAAACTGTAAAGGCCAAAAGTCATATCCGTCAAGAAAGAGGTATCCTTCAGTCGCTTTATAAGTCCTTCCGCGGGAGTGGAGTGCCACCTGCATCGCCCTCTTTCGTTTGGTGAAACTGTAAACATCAAAAGTCGTATCCGTCAGGGAAGAGTTGGCTTTCAGCCGCTTCATAAGTCCTTCTGCGGGTGTGGAGTGGCACCTGCCCACGATAAGGGTATCGTTGGGTGAAGCTGCAAAGGCCAACAGTATTAGATCTGTTTGAATAAAAAAATTATAAAGAGCTACGAAACTACGCAATCCAATGTCATTTGATCAGAATTAGTTACCAGCGTACACCGTCGAATTCCACAGCCCTATGCCACAACTATTCGGCTACCATTTACGCAGCTGATCCGTTACATTTGCGGCGAAATTAAAAAGTTCGCGTACTGGGCAGGTGTTAAGAAGATATCTAAAAATAAAAAGTTCGTTCATCCAGTTCGGAAGGCCGACCATACACGTGTGCATGTATGTATTTATCTCCCGAAATATACGGACGCGTGCAACCATTAATCTGTATTTGACAGGTTGTATACAAATCCATCGTCGACTGTTTAGAATTAAGTCCTTTTTATTTGCTGGTACAAACCAGACGCCGCTTCTTGATAGTGCCAACATTTTCTTTTTAAAATAATCACTTGTGTCGTTTAAAAGAAGAATTTCCCCTGCACCACAAGCGATCAATGCGGACCGCATACGTAAGTTCCCGAGTGGGTTGCCGATTGTTGATTCCTTTTGCCCACCGGTAATAAATAAAAAGTCATTATTTTTTAGCAGCAACCGGAATGTTTTGTTTACTTAAATAGCATGTCTTCTCTTGAGATTGCAAAGATATTGAACATGTTTATTTTGGCTTTCATGCGCGCTTTAAGATGTAAAGAATGAGGTAGAACGGGTTACTGTCCGAACGCGTTGCTAATGTTATATAGATAGATAAAATTAATGTGGAATCTATCTTTGCTATGTTGCCAGGGTGAATACTGTAACTTGTGATTTTGTTTATTACCGAGTCAAAATTTCGTAAAATCACTCTTTTGGGTAGTAAAATGCAAAAGAAATATATAACAATTATTATACCACATTACATAAACACTTTTCAAAATAAAATTGATGTTAAGTATTATACGGGTATCAAATTGGTGACCATCAAGAGTTTAGATAGTGTGCTATACGTACTTCAAAAATCAAACATATCTTATATAGAGTTTCCTGTTTAGTTTTTCTTTAAAATAAGAATCACAAACGTTTTGACTTTCCACCTGATGGAAACAGACAAACGTCGGCACTATCATGTGATTATCTGATATCAGTATTATGTATCATGCCTTGCCATTCCAGAAAACCTCGTACCCTATAATTCCTCTACCTCTTGTAACTTAGGTAAAAATAGTAGATACAACTTTGTATATAATCTACATCGATTATCAATATTGAAACAAAAATTGTGTGTAAGGGGAGAAGCTAAGCATCGGGTTCACTCTGCCTACCCAGCCAAGACTCTGGCGTAGATAGATTTCCATGTCTACAAAATTCAAAGCAACCAATGAATTCAACATTCGCACACGATAACAGCTGTGTCACATATTGCGTATTTTTAACCAATGACCTTTTATTATATGTAATAATTATCAATTTTGTTTGTAATCCAATGAATCCATCTTTATATTTAGGCACAATAATATATTTTTAACGAAAACACAAGAGTTATTTTCATCACGGAACTTATTTTACTTTTCTTACCGTTACTATGAAAAAATATTTTTTATTATTTATTACCTGTGCCTACTACTTTGCCCGCGTGAATCTTCACCAAATAAAGAAAATATAGTTAATAATATTATCCAAAAATTCCACGAAAAAAGTTTCATTGTTCTATCTTCAAATATGATGTTGGCAATCGAGCATATGGCCCATCTGATGCTATAAGGCTTTCCCGTACCTTAGAAACATCAGGCATGTTATGTACGCGTTGCCGCCCTACAAGCGTTCCACAATCTGATTGTACGCAGGAGGAAGATCCTCTGAAACCGCACTGTCCATGACCACTTAGGTTTCAGCGAATGGGGTTGATTTCTCTGTTGACGGCGAGCGGTGCGATGTTAAAAGGTAGCCGTAGCCATTATTATTCTTATTTGATTAAAAATAATAATCTAGTATATGTATCATACACCTCTATCAATTTATAGACTTTTAATATAATTAAAAGGCCGACAACGCACTGGCAATTCCTCTGGTATTGCGAGCGCTCATGGGTGACGATAATAAAGTATTTTGAAGCCGAAAGTTTTAAGCAACCGAGTGAAGCCGTGGCGATTAGAATTCTAAAAGTAAATATTCTAATATACTACTAAACTGAACTATTCACGTAGGACCGTTCAAACTCGTGTTGTTCAAGCCGTATTTTTTATTTCTACCTTGCTAGAAGATCTG